TCTTTTTATCACACACACTCTGTCTCTCCTTCTCTCTCTTTATCTCCTTTCTCTTACCCTCCTCCACCTCACTCTCTTTCTCTTTTCTCTTTCACGTACACGCACAGTCTCCCTCTCTTCCCCCCTCTCTCTATGTGTCTCTCTCTTTCTCTCTCTCTGTTTTTTCTTTCCTGTTTCTCTCTTTCTCTCACTCTCTCTCTCTCACACATGCACACACAATCTCGCTTTCTCTCTCTTTCTTTCTCTCACTCTCTCTGTCCCCCCCCGCTCCATGCCTCTCCCTCTCTCTTTTGCTCTTTCTCTCTCCCTCTCTCTTTTACTCCCCCTCTCTCTTTTTCTCTCTCTCTCTCTTCCCTATCCCCCTCCTTCTCTCTCTCTCTCTCGCTCTGGCTTTCTCTCTCCCCTCTCTCTTTCCCTCTCTCTCCCTCTCACTGTAGGCTCGTGTGTGTGCGCTTGTGTGTGAGAGCGGTGTTCCAGTCGCCTAGCAACCCTCTGCATGTGTATGTGTGTTTGTGTCGGTGTGTGAGCGTGTGTGTGTGTATGTGTGCGTAAGTGTGTGTGTGTGTGTGTGCTTGTGTGAGCAGAGTGGTGGGAGAGTGAGAAGTGTTCATATCAGTGTGGACCTCAGCATCAGTGACACACACACACACACACAGACTCACTCACTGCTGTTGTGTGTTTCTGATACGGACGGTGAAGTTCTGCACAGGCCCCGTCCTGAAAAATACAAAGATTAAAAAAACAATAATCCCACCATAATATTTATAATTAAAGATGCACTATGGAACCTTTCTGGTGGACGTTCCACTACCTGCTTCTCTCCGCGGATGATTGTTCGACTGGAATATACTGTATATCCATGTAAATGTTTCAAAGTGTGGGTTAACTTTCTCCTTCCGTGGAATCGTGTTGGTGACGTGTAGTTTCCAGAAAGTTACATACTGTGGCTTTAAGTTGTTTCCATTTTCATTTAATTATGAATGAATTAATCATTCTACTGCTTAATATCTGTATAACCCCCACGATAAACAAGGGACCACTGTACTTTCACTTCGCAACCTGTGCACATGGTCTCCCACTTGTCCCGATCGGGATGGAAAATGGAGAATTTCTTGTACAAGTCATTGTTAAATGCACATTTGCATTTCGGCATGTTGCAGACTGACCGACTGTTTGTGTCTGCTCACTCCTTCTGAGCCACAGGGAGTTACGAGAGACGCTCAATTTAATGCCCCCAATGAACGGTAATGAAAACCCAGACATTTGCATCACTTTAAAAAAAAAAAACCTGGACGACCAGGACAGGACACAAAATACGGACATGTTCGGGGAAAAACAAACGTTTGGTCACCCTAGTATAATCATCAAATCAAACTTTATTTATAAAGTGCTATTCAAAGTGTGGGTTAACTTTCTCCTTCCGTGGAATCGTGTAGGTGACGTGTAGTTTCCAGAATGTTACATACTGGGGCTTTAAGTTGTTTCCATTTTCATTTAATTATGAATGAATGGATTAATCATTGCATTTATTTATACAGTGCCTTTCAAGACACCTAAAACACTTTACAGTTCGTCGTTCATTCACTCCAGCTCAGAGTGAGTCAGCTTCAGCAAACTACAAACTTATCGTAGCCAAAGCTGCCCTGGGACAGATTGACAGAAGCGAGGCTGCCGATCTGCCCCATCAGCCCCTCCAACCACCATCACGCACGCTCACACCACTTTCTTAGTAGACAAGGTGAGTGAAGTGTCTTGCCTAAAGGCACAACAACAGTTTTTCTGTGAGTGGCTCCCCCCCATGGCATCTGGAATTCCCAATGTCTCCCATCCAAGTACTGACCAGGCCCGACCTCTGAGCTCCTGAGATCTGACGAGATCAGACTTTGACAAACTGGTATGGACACATTTACACTCATAGTAAACCTGTGTATGTTACTGTTTAATGTAGTAGTAGTAGTAGTAGTAGTAGTAGTAGTAGTAGTAGTAGTAGTAGTAGTAGTAGTAGTAGTAGTAGTAGTAGTAGTAGTAGTAGTAGTAGTAGTAAGTAGTAGTAAGTAGTAGTAGTAGTAGTAGTAGTAGTAGTAGTAGTAGTAGTAGTAGTAGTAGTAGTAGTAGTAGTAGTAGTAGTAGTAGTAGTAGTAGTAGTTCATCTGTACTTAATCATGTACTTAATAGACTGTTATGAACATTTCACAGTAGTAGTAAGTAGTAGTAGTAGTAGTAGTAGTAGTAGTAGTAGTAGTAGTAGTAGTAGTAGTAGTAGTAGTAGTAGTAGTAGTAGTAGTAGTAGTAGTAGTAGTAGTAGTAGTAGTAGTAGTAGTAGTAGTAGTAGTAGTAGTAGTAGTAGTAGTAAGTAGTAGTAGTAGTAGTAGTAGTAGTAGTAGTAGTAGTAGTAGTAGTAGTAGTAGTAGTAGTAAGTAGTAGTAGTAGTAAGTAGTAGTAGTAGTAGTAGTAGTAGTAAGTAGTAGTAGTAGTAGTAGTAGTAGTAGTAAGTAGTAGTAGTAGTAGTTCATCTGTACTTAATCATGTACTTAATAGACTGTTATGAAGATTTCACAGTAGTAGTAGTAGTAGTAGTAGTAGTAGTAGTAGTAGTAGTAGTAGTAGTAGTAGTAGTAGTAGTAGTAGTAAGTAGTAGTAGTAGTAGTAGTAGTAGTAGTAGTAGTAGTAGTAGTAGTAGTAGTAGTAGTAGTAGTAGTAGTAGTAGTAGTAGTAGTAGTAGTAGTAGTAGTAGTAGTAGTAAGTAGTAGTTAGTAGTAGTAGTAGTAGTAGTAGTAGTAGTAGTAGTAGTAGTAAGTAGTAGTAGTAGTAGTAGTAGTTAGTAGTAGTAGTAGTAGTAGTAGTAGTAGTAGTAGTAGTAGTAGTAGTAGTAGTAGTTCATCTGTACTTAATCATGTACTTAATAGACTGTTATGAACATTTCACAGTAGTAGTAGTAAATAGTAGTAGTAGTAGTAGTAGTAGTAGTAAGTAGTAAGTAGTAGTTTAGTAGTAGTAGTAGTAGTAGTAGTAGTAGTAGTAGTTCATCTGTACTTTATCATGTACTTAATAGACTGTTATGAACATTTCACAGTCGTAGTAGTAAATAGTAGTAGTAGTAGTAGTTCATCTGTACTTTATCATGTACTTAATAGACTGTTATGAAGATTTCACATAAAAGACCAAAGGGGTTTAGTCTGAAGTGAAGTCACTTCTAAATCTCTGATCCTGTTTATGAATAATGATGATGAGAACAACAATTTGGACAACACAGAGAAATCTATATACAATAACTGTACTCTTGACTTCAGTTCAGAGGTTCTTTTCAGTGAACTCTATTCCACTTCCTACACCTAAGAAAAAAAAAATCCTTCAAAATCATCATTTATTGTCTCTCTATGTAGTAAGAATATGTCTTTAAATCATTCTACTGCTTAATATCTGTATAACCCCCACGATAAACAAGGGACCACTGCACTCTCACTTCACAACCTGTGCACACAGTCTCCCACTTGTCCCGACCGGGATGGAAAACTGAGAATTTCTTGTACAAGTCATTGTTAAATGTGCATTTGCATTTCGGCATGTTGCAGACTGACCGACTGTTTGTGTCTGCTCACTCCTTCTGAGCCACAGGGAGTTACGAGAGACGCTCAGTTTAATGCCCCCAATGAACGGTAATGAAAACCCAGACATTTGCATCACTTTAAAAAAAAAAACCTGGACGCCCAGGACAGGACACAAAATACGGACATGTTCGGGGAAAAAGGGACGTTTGGTCACCCTAGTATAATCATCAAATCAAACTTTATTTATAAAGTGCTTTTCATGCAAAATGTAACAGAAAGTGCTTTACATTGATTAAAAACAGTCCCACATTTCCCACCACCCACCCACTTACCCAACCCCCACAGCCCCAACCCCACACACCAAACAACCCAGACACACACACACTCACATACGCACAAACATACACAGACACACTCACACACACACTAACATGCTAAAATGCATAAAACCGGACATAGTAAAAGTCATAATGTGAAGTAACTACTGTAGTCACAGCTGCTCTGGGGCAGACTGAAGGAAGTGAGCCTGCCAATGTGTGCCATTGGTCCCTCTGTTTACCACAACTCACTCAGTCACACACACACACACACACACACACACACACACTCCACATTCATACTAGAGAGAAGGTAGGTGTGTCTTGCCTAAAGACACAAAAGTATGGATTAAAGCCACTATTTCTCCAGTCTGTCAGAGTTGTTGACCTGGTTTATGCTTCATAATAATCTCTAATGTAATTACAGGGCCTGTTCACACAAAACAAATACTAGAACACATTTTATATATTTTCTATCATCATGAATAAACAAAAGTGAAATAATCTCAGAAAAATTGGCATGTTTAAATACACCCAAATACTCTTATCGCAGCTCAATTTAACTTTATTTCTAGAGCACTTTAAAAACAACACAATCGACCAAAGTGCTGTACACAAAACACAACAAACAGTGACAAATACAGTGACAGGTAAATATAATACAACACAAATACAGATAGAAGAAATAATGAGTTTTTAGGAGGGACTTAAAACATGCAGTGATGATTCCACAGCCTCGGAGCCACTGCAAACGCCCGATCTGCTCTCTGTTTTCTCCTGGTTCTTGGGGCATGGGACAAAATAACTTTTTAAAGAACTTTTTTGGAGCCAATCTTTAACCAGAGCTGAAGATCAGGCAAAAACTGTAAATCTGGCCCTTCATCTGAACTCATCTTTATTGCATAGCATTAATATTTATTTGCTATCTGTCTATTTTTCTGTCTGTCCAAGTTTACAAAATGAGCTTGACCTCTTCTTACCTGCGTTAAATCTGGTGAACATTTGGTGCTGGCTGTGTGCCGGGAGCTGTGTGTGTGTGTGAAAGGGGCGTGTCTGCGGCAGGTTTAGTCACTCATTACACTGAACTGTTGCACTCGCTCCAAAGGTCAACCTCCAAAACGAAGATGGCGGCCGAGAGGAGCAGGGGAGAGCTTCATCTGTCCACCTGAGCGGCACAGGGGTCGTGACCTGTGCCCACGGCCGATCAGAGCGCGGGGCAGACGGGCAAAGGGCGGAGGTGAGCACGGGTAGAGCTGAGCGAGAAGGAGAACAAAAGAGGTAAGTTTGACATAGTTTGTGCATGTGACAAGGGCAATATACTTCAACAGGATTTCCACAGTAAAGTTATTTTGGACTTTTAAAGATAATTTTAGCAGAAAAAATGTACACTTGGCAACATTTTGTGGTGAAAAATCAAAATATATGCTTATCAGAAGTTCACAGTAGGAAACAACTACATTTAAAGGTCCTATATTACACAAAATGGACTGTTGTGAGCTTGAAGTCATGTTATAATGTTACCTCATCAAAAACAGACCTGGAGTTGTGTTCTATTTCATTCACATATATGAGAAATCCTTTATTATTAGTCTGAAGGGACGTAATAATAACTGAAATATCATGATATTGTATCATCAAAAATCTCTCATTAATATTGTGGGCCATGACACTATATTGAGTCTCAAATCTCTTTGCTTAAATTTATTGTTATGATGCAGCATGAGCTAAAAGAAACAGAGGGAACTACGTAGACCATGATCCTTTGCTCCATTTCAGTCCAGTTTTCATGATGAAATAACTTATTAAGCTCTTTTAAATCTTAACTCTTTAGGTATTTTGTCAAGGTATTTTTAAAGGAAAAAGTAGTATATTTACAATTTTGTTTGCCTCTACAAAACGTTGCAATAAATACCGTACCGTGAGATGCATATTGTGAAAATATCATACAGAGAAATTTGGATATTGCTACATCCTTATTAGTTCATCTGCATCTCCAAAGCTCATTTATTGTCAACTTCTTCACATGTATTAGACATACAAAGGCTCTCTCTCTATGCCATGTGTAGAGAACGACTGGGAGAGCGAGAGGCTGCTTCAAATGAACGCGCTACCATTCAAATCATAACGCCATTCAAGTTTTGCTGCAGCAAACTGTTGCAGTTGTGTGTCCTTTGTGTCTCAGGGCCCGTTTACACTAGTACGTATATAAATCGTTTTTGTTGTGGATGTAGTATTCGTCCACACTAATCCAAATGAAAATGGCTCCGGAGATGGAATGTTTCATCTGAGTATGGATCTGATCCGGCACTGTGTGGACGCCTGAAAACGCTGATACGCCGATGTAGGTCTATGCACCACGAAGTAATTCATCACCAAAACACTAAGAGACTAGCATATATGTCTATTCATATATACAGTCTATGTGTATGGCGTGCAGACTTATAAAAAGTTTAACATGAATCATCTCCAACGTGATAGAAACACAGAACAGACTCACCATCAGCAGAACATCCCTCTGTCACAGAAAGAACTCATATAATCCACTGAGTCGTGTCCTTTAGTCTGACAGAAGTTGAACCACATCAGCGCACAATAGTGAGCTGTTTTTTGAGCGCTCAGTTTATGCAAATGATCCATGTGGTTTTAAGTTTTGTTTCTGTAAAACGTAAACAAATCTGCTCAAAGCTGTGTGGAAAGAGAAGGCTTGCAGACACAGAAAGGAGTCAGTCGTCACTCTGAGCCGCCATGCTCGTCTTCAAATCCAGTGTTATGCTTAAGTAACAACTGAACTTCGTCATCAGTCCATTTACACTTGCCTCTTCCTTGACTCAAAATCAGCTGCTGCAACTTCTGATTTCCTTCTTTTTACCATTCACGTGACACCAGGTGATTTCAGGCGGTTTGTGTTACAGGTGTGGACAGGGAAGGCTTTGATTGCGGACACAGAAACAACGTGTCTGGACGCAGATCGTTTCTGATACGGCGATACAGTGATACGCGGATTCGTTTCAGTGTAAACGGTGTTAGCCTCTTGCCCAATCTCCATGGATACAAGAAAAACGAACAGTTCATTAACAGCTTCAGTTAACAGCAACTTTTTCCCTCTTGTTTAGTTTGAAAGAACGAACAAACGAAAGAAAGAGATTTGCGTGTTAAACTTGTGAATGAAACAAAACACAAATCCAGGTTTGTTTTTGATCAAGAAACAACATTATATCATAAAATAGAGTAACATGGGCCCTTCAAAGTTGCACTATGTAACATTTCAGGTGGAGGTTCTTACACTTGATTGTCTCCATGATGATGCTATCGTTCTGCCAAAAAAAAAAGAGTCACATTGTGTCATCAGACTTTTGTTACAGAGAGGTCAGATCTGTGAGGTTAGGGTTAGGGTGTGCGTACACAGTAGCTGATTTACTACACGTTTATGCCATGGAACATTCTTGGCAAGTTACATCATAGAGCATCTTTATTACAAGAAGCATTTTTATTTGGTAGTAATGAAAGCTACTAATTATTAACTCCATGTAACGTGCCGCTGGACGACTGACCCAGTAACCTAGTGCTGGAGCGTGGTTCCAAAGGTCAAATTAACAAAGTCTAGTCCTGAAATCAGTTTAGATTAGGTGTTCTCAAAATCTCTGCATTGTGTAACTTGGTCGGTCACCTGCTCGGGTCATTGCTCTGTTCCATGGTGTGACATTAAACAAGTTCAACCTTACATTTATTCAGTTACAGGTGGTTTTATAGCTCACAAATACGCAGAAAAACAGGAATTCTGACTGTGAGCGGGTCGTCTCTCCACAGATCTGACCTGTAACTTGCTCCGGTTTGGTCTCCGTGAAGATAGAAAGGTTTAAATTCATGCTGTCATACTAAAAATCATTTGAAAAGTTACACAGTGCACCTTTAACTTATTATTATTTGACTTATTTCATTTCAGTATTCTTTCGTTCACAGGGTCAGGATGATGGGCAGGACCGTATCCAGCAGTGGACTCTGTAGTTTGGAGCTGCGGTCGCTCTGCTCTCTGGCCTCCTCTGCACCTCCCAACAAACTGCACGGACTACATTACCCATCAGGCAGCGGGGGCAGGAAGTACCGCACACAGCACCAGCCGGGTCAAGTGGGACAGGCTCAAGTCAACCAAATCCTCAAGGTACAGGTGATCCACTAATGATAAACAAATACCCTAAAACTTACTTCCACAGTTAACTTTACAAACAAACATTTTTAAAGATATACTATGTAACTTTCTGGTGGAGCGTATGGTATCTACTTGTCTCCATGGAGATATTTTGCTTGTCTTGAAATGGTATATGTTGCGTTATTTCAATTACATGCACTTCTCAAATGTACTTTCTTGTTGTGACTACATTCTTGTTAAGGCTGCTCGATTACAGAAAAAATCATTTTCACGATTATTTTGGTCAATATTGAAATCACGATTATTCAAATTATTATTTTTAGTTACTTGTTTAGTAAAAAACAAAAAAACAAAAAACACATTGTTATTGATAATTTATGCAAAACTTTCAAACTGAAAATAAATATAGACTACAAATATGTAAATATGTAGTTTTGCAATGTATAAAACATAAAATGAATAAAATACACTTTGAATATGAAATAAGGCATAACAAAAACAAAAATGAATCCAAAATAAACTATATATCCGGCTGTTCTACAATCTCTATATTTAAAAAATATAATAGTTTCAGCTCAATTATATGAGTTTGGAGATTGATCGACACACAAATCGAAATCAAAATTAACTTGCACAGCTTTAATTCTTGTTGTGAGTGAGGTCGCCTCTCCACTGATCTGACCTGTAACTCATCCTGATTGGGTAAACTTTCTTGTCTGTAGATACGTTTAATAATGCAATATGTCAGAAATCTCAAGTCTTTGACCTCAAGTCCGAGTCACTGGTCCATAAGTCCAAGTCAAGTCCAAGTCGTCTGCTTTGAGCTTCAAGTCATTTCAAGTCTTTAAACCAAAGTACTAAATATAGCTCAGATTTTTACAATTTATATGACTTTTAAGATAAATTGTACTTAAAAAACATTGTATATTTATATATGAATATTTATAACATGTATAAGAGTTGAGAAATTAGAAATTAATTTAGTTATTTTTTCCTTTTTTTTTCGAGATCTTAGTGTGAATCATTATGGTCAGAAAAGAAAGAATTTAGATTTAAAAGTGCTTCTCAAGTCTTCTCAAGTCACAGTCATCAAGTCCGAGTCAAGTCCCAAGTCACTCACCTTCAAGTCCAAGTCGAGTCCCAAGTCTTAGTCCATTTTATCAAGTCAAGTCTCAAGTCCTAAAAGTCTGACTCAAATCCAAGTCACAACATGCAAGTCCCAACCTCTATATAGTGAAACATTCCTGGCAAACCAATAACATCTCCATGGAGACAAGCAGGTCCAGGAAAGTTACATAGTGCAGCTTTATAAACAAGAACATTTTCATTAAAGGTGTGCTGTGTAACTTTGGTGGTAGGGGCCCGTCAGTTACTTGGAGATGTTATTGCTTTAGTTCCAATATTGCAAAGGCTGCCACTGAACTTTTCGGTCTCTGTAGAAAAAGCAGAAAACAGGCAAATTTACAAGTGAGATCTGTGAAGAGGTGACCCTATTTACAGTCAGAATGCACATTTTTAAAGGCAATAAAAACACCTGAACTGAATAAATGTATCTTATATAAGTTTAATGCCATATTGTGGAAAGGGCAAAAGGAGAAATTCAATTTGTCAACTGGAGGAAAGTTTATTTTGGTTGAATACGTTTCACAGCTCATCCATTCAACCAAAATAAACTTTTGCCCAGTTGACATATTGAATTCTCCTTTTGCCGTGGATTCTATCTGGACGACTGAGGGATTTTACACACATTGTGGAAAATTACAGCCAAAGCAATAGTATCTCCATAGTAACAGGCTCCCAACCTGAAAGTTAAGAAGTGCATCTTTAAATAACAACTTTTTAAACATGTTTAGGCCGTTGAAAGAGAACAGCTCATATTTGTTGTGGTCTTATCTGTATGGTTATAGCTAATGTAGATACTAGGCCACCCATATAGCTGTCTAAATTTATGATTATGTAACTTTTGGAGGGTCATCTGCTTGTTTCTATGGATATGTCACTACTCTGCCTGGAATGTTCCACAGTATGACATTAAACAGCTCTACTATTATTACATTTATTCAATTACAGCTGCTTTTATAGCTCAAAAATACATATAAAAACAGATATTCTCACTCAAAGGGTTCGCCTCTCCACAGATCTGACCTGTATCTTGGTCTGGATAGTCTCCAGTGATGATAGAAAGGTTTAATATCATACTGTGAAACATTCCAGACAAAGCAATAACGTCCCCACTGAGAAAAACATTTGACAGGTCGTCTCCCAGAAATTTGGGGGCCCTAGGTTGACTTGAGTTTGGGCCCCTCACTAGAGTGTACATTACTTTTTTTTTTTTTTTTTTTTTTCTTTAATATGTATTGTCTGTTTTTACCCACTGTTCATGAGACACGCACATCTTTATTTAAATTATGATGGATTGGAAACTTGTTTTATTAGTTTGTTTCGCCTACTAGATAACCAGATCTGAAAGTAATTTAATTTTTTTGCTGGTTCAATTACATTTTTGTTTTCATCTATTACATATGATCATGATTATGCTTTGACACAAACTGTACATTTTGAACTGAAAAATGAAACCACCTCTCACTTATTTTGGACGTGCCCAGACTCTGTGTGTTTTTGGAAAGAATTCATAAAACATATACGAACAAGAATGAGAGCAAGAATTTTATAGGCGAATGATATGTTATCTGAAATGTTTTTCTGTTGCACAAGAGCCCAAAACATTCTTCAAACCTACGCCCTTGAACAAAACGCAACTCTGGGTATGTTTTACAGAAGACATAACATTCTAACATGTCTTAAAGCTCACGAGAATCCATTTTGTGTAATACGAGAGCTTTAATATATTTTTAACCCAAACTCCTTTTCTATGTTGTCTTTAGGCCTATGAATACAGCCACTCATTCCCCAAAGGTTCCGCATCGCACGGCGTCCTGGGTTTCCACAGTAACATGCTGCCCTCCAACCATCCCAGTGAGGACCGCCGCAGCAGCGCCACCTGTCTGCCGGGCCGGGGAGGGGTCATGTTCGGCGTGTTCGATGGACACGCTGGAGCCGCCTGTGCACAAGCTGTGAGCCATAGACTGTTCTACTACATGACTGTGGCCATGCTGCCTTTAAGGTGCATAGGATTTTATCATTATTCCTTGGTTTGGATAGTTCCAGTGGTAAATATTTATTATAGTTTTACACAAGTGAAGTGGCAATTTGTAGAAAAAACCTAAGACCTGTGTCATCAATATGAACAATTCCATCCAAAGTGCAAAGCCAATTTATGTGCAAGAAAGGATTTTGTAGCAGTTTAAACCTTCAGTTATCAAAATAAAGGTGTTGTCATTCATATTTAATTGTCTAGTCATAACTACTGTGTAATTTACAAGTTTTAGCCCTTGTTATCATTATGGTTGCTAGGTAACAGTTGGAATTACTTCTATGTATCTGCTGTGTGTGTCCAACCAGAAATATTATTAGACATTTCATCAATATAAAAATAAATACATAAATAGATAAAACAAGGCAAGATCTTTTTTTGTCAAATCTTAAATAAAAATCTTAAAGTGGTGTGAATAGTGTTTAAAGTCAAATTCCTTGTCCTGTGCTTTTGAAGGACCTTAGGAGAGATGGAGAGTGCAGTGGAGGAGGACAGACCTGCACCCCCCCTCCTGGAGTGGCACAGGCACCCGAGGGACCCCTGTGAGCTGGACTATGGGACCATCCCCGTGGACAGTCTCAGAAACTACTGGCAGGACCGACTGCAGCAGGAAGAGGAGGAGGCTGAGGAGGTACAGGTTATTAAAGAACACTTGTTAAGCTAAATCTTTGTTTACCTTTGCTTTTTTTTTTTTAACCATGCTTAACCATATTATTCCCTCATTAAAAACATACCTGGATGCCCCTAATTGAATCAATATTGGGAGAAAATTAAACAAAACATTGAGGAAACATTTAGAGTAAAGATCCATTTAAATTCTGAATCAGTTTTGGGGCAAATGGACAGATGACATTAAAGGAACAAAAAATATATGTGGCAATATTCTGCTGGTCGCAAGCAAGAAAGCAATAATCAAAAAATGGATGAGTGACAAACTACTGAATTTGGAGGACTGGATTAACATTGTTGAAAACATTTCACAAATAGAAAGACACAAAGATTGGAATATGACAGGTATGAGGAAAGGTGGAAACCATGGAAAGACTTTTTTTTCAATACTATAATAGAGAGATATGTGAAGTGAAAGAACGACGAAGGGGGAAAAAAATTATACATCTTCATATTCATATTCATCCAAATTATACATACAAATTATACATATACAACAATTATACATATACAAAAACATACCTGGAGTGTTTAAGCTTCATTCACACTAGTTTTAGTAACGCTCTGTAGAAAGTCGTTTGCCTCTGAACCTCACAAACACTCCAAACAATTCCCAGGATTGTGATGTCATAGATAGACTTTTTAAGATTTGAGTCTGTAATTCATCTGCAGACATACAGTAATTTAAGATATTTGCTCATAAAAACATGTTCATTACTGCTGCGAGCTTGAATTAACATGTCCACGTTTCTCATTAACTAGTTTAATTGTTTTCACTGTGGTAATTCCCTATGCTGCCAGTAGATTCCAAGCTGCACCAGATCAGCTACTAAGCCTGAATCATTCTTAATAACTATTTGTGTATTATGGATTATATTTGTTTTCATACTAACGCACAACATAAAGAATAGTTAATTGCATTTCTGTGTGTTTTGTTTTGTTTGTTTTCAGGACGAGGAGTCTGTGAGCTCTGGGCTGATCAGTGCCTTCAAACGTCTGGACTTTGACATTTCTGTGGAGGCTCAGGTCCACCTCTCCAGGTCAGAACTTTTACAGTAACATTGTAATCTGTAGCTTTATCTCTGTGGTGAGTTTAATTAAGGTTTCAGAGGATGACTAATATTCTACACCAGTATCGTTACATTCCTAATTTAAATCTCAATGTAAAATAGAAATATTTGTTGTACTCATAGGAAAAAAATACTAAAAATAATATTAGGTAATGTAAAAAAACATTATTTGGATCAGGGTTTTCACTGATAAATCCCACAATAAAATGTGCTTTGAAAACAATACAAAGTGCAGCCCTACTAATGACTCTCCCTCCTCCATCCTGCAGGGGGAGCAGTGGCTGTGGCTCGACCCCTCTACACGTGGCCTTCTCTGGGTGCACAGCCTGCGTCGCCCTGGTCTCTAATGGGACCCTCCATGTGGCTAACCTGGGGGACAGCCGGGCGGTGCTGGGGGTGCAGGAGGCAGATGGGAGCTGGTCCGCCCTCAACTTGACCAACGACCACAATGCGCAGAACCCCGACGAGCTGCAAAGGATCATGGGAGAACACCCACGCTCTGAGAAACGCACCGTGGTCAGACATGACAGACTGCTGGGTCTGCTGCTGCCCTTCAGGTACAACAGAACGACCGACCATCTGTGGATGAGAACAGAGTCCGGCCTCTTATAATAAATGTAAAACCTGTTACACTGTAGGTGCGTTTACCTGTAATGTTGGTCCGTGCCAGGTCAGATCATTTAAAACAGCATTATGGAACTTTATAGAGGCAGCTCCACCACCTGCTTGTCTCCATGGAGATGCTTTGCTTGTAATGTTCCACATTATGGCTTATAACATAATATCTATCTTAATGGAGACAAGCAGGTCAGGTTACAGGTCAGATCTATGGAGTGGAGACCCCATTCACAGTAAAAAAGCATATTTTGTGGCTACAACATTTGTCCATCAGTCACAAGGGCGGAGAATCTGTTCCTGCTCAAACACTGTGTCCTTACGCAAGACACTTTACCCTCCTCACCTCGTATGAATGTGGTGTGTGAGTGTAGGTGGTCAGAGGAGCTGATGGAACAGATTGCCTCACTTCCATCAGTCCTAGGGCAGCTGTGGCTTCAACTGTAACTCACCATCGAGTGTGGAGCGAATGAAAAATGACATTACAAGTGTTATGGATTAATCATATTATTGTTATATTTTTTGCCTAATGTTTGCCACATAAAAAACTAGACTCACACAGATTTGCTCCTCTTTAAAACACTCTCTCTCTCTCTTTCAGGGGTTTTGGAAACATGAGGTTCAAATGGAGTCCTGAGATGCTGAGTCATGTGAACGAGAAAAAACAGGACATGATGTTACCTCCTCACTACCTCACCCCTCCGTACCTCACGGCGGAGCCAGAGGTCACGCAGCACCGGATCTGCCCCAGAGACAAGTTCTTGGTTCTGGCCACAGATGGACTCTGGGAGCTCATGCACCGACAGACTGTGGTCCAACTGGTGGCCCAGCAGCTCACAGGTCAGAACACACACTGGGGCTGGACAAGATTTAAATTTAAAACACAAAACATGCAAGACATGTACAATCCTCCAGCTAAGGCCTGTATGTGTTTGGACTGGACTAAATTTTGTTTCCTCCCTGGGTTGCACTAGAGGCATTGAAGGATGGGTCAAATGCAAACTACCGCACGAGTGTTAAGTATGATGATTTTTAAGACTTAGAGCTTAGATGGGTGAATTTATTTAGAAAAAATATGTTTTACTTTTTTGGGAAGGTCTATGGGAACAAGTTACTGGTTAGATCTATGGAGGTAGGGACAAAGTCATCCAGTCTTTCATTTGACTTAACAACACTGAAAAGAATAGTATTGTCTGTAATAATTCTGTTTGAAGATCCTTGTTGCTTACTTGGAATAGATTATTTTTAATACATTTTCCAGATTAATATCTTTAAGTAATATTACCAAGCCAAGAAAGAAATCGTTTCAAAATAATAAGAGATAAACAAAAACATAATTGGAATTGTTTTTTTTTAGTCACATCTTAAACTATGGTCATGAGCTCTGGGTAATGAGAGGACGAGATCACAGATACAAATGCTCGAAATGAGTTTCCTCCGCAGGGTGGCTTGGCGCTCCCTTAGAGACAGGGTGAGGAGCTCAGTCACATGGGGTAGAGTCCAGAGTAGAGCCGCTGCTCCTCCTCGTGGAGAGGAGCCAGTTGAGGTGGCTCAGGCATCTGTTCTGGATGCCTCTTGGGCATCTCCCTCGGGAGGTGTTCAGGGTATGTCTCACCGGAAGGAGGCCTCGGGGAAGACCCAGGACACGATCGAGGGACTATGTCTCTCGGCTGGCCTGGGAACACCTCGGGGTCCCCCCGGAGAAGCTGGAAGACGTGTCTGGGGTGAAGGAAGTCTGGGAGGTGGGGGCTTAGACTGCTGCCCCTGTGACCCGGCCCCAGATAAGCGGAAGAAAGTGGATGGATGCCTGGGTCTTAGACTAAGCCTGGATATTAAACACATCACCTTGTGATGTCATTAAGTGCTCCTTCAAAAGCCTACATTTGCACTAGATCTTTTCCATTACAAGAGAGAGGGCACGACTGGAATGAGACATGTATACATAACATAACACATAATTCAGATGCTTCGTCAGTTGTAGGATAAAAACAATATTCTTTTACCTTTCACCTGAACGCTTTGTGTGTGTCCAGGCCTGCAGTACCAGCGCCCTCTAGTGCCGGGGGCTGGCATGACTCTGGGGGGGCTGCAGAGGTTGCTGGTGGAGCGAAGGGGGCGTGTCCAGGCGGTTTTGGAGGACCATAACGCGGCCACACATTTACTCCGACATGCTTTAGGGGACGACGGATACGGAGCGGTGGCCCCCAACAGACTGGCCAAGATGCTCAGCCTGCCCCCAGACCTGGCCCGCCGTTACCGTGACGACATCACCATCACTGTCATACTGCTCAATGAACCCGACGTGTGAGGAGCCCACAATGTGAACAAAAGAAGAACTAAAGAAACTGGTTATTAAAGTAGCACTGTGTAACTTTTCTTGAAGACAGTCCACCACATCTCGTCTCCATGGAGATGTTAGCTCTGGGTTTCAGATGATATAACATCACACAACATGCTATACTGCCCTAAAAAGATGTAACTCTCAGAAAAATGACTTCAAAGTTTTTGTTTTGTCCAGACAAAACTATAATAGGTAGAGCTCCCAAAATTTGACAACTACTTGCTTTACTGAAGAAATATTTGTATGTGAAAAATATTGAGCTCAAAATTCACCTTTGACTCTTACTTGCCAGTTCCTGTTCTCTGTCTTTGTATCATGAACCAAAAACAAGGAGTTGTGCAAAGACAAACGGCAGAAACTGACATGATCATTATTTGCTTGATTTTCTCCAGACTTCCATCCATTATAAGAAAAACATCTTACCAAGGTAAAAAAATAAGAATGGACAATCACATGTTTGGGGTTGAATAATGGACTCACTTGATGCTATTGTAAAAAAATGATTTCACTTTTGTTTATTTATAACAGAGAAGATGTTGGACTTTGTGACACTTTTTGTTTCTTGTGCATAGGCCCAGTAATTACAGAGATATGAACCATAAACCAGGCAAACAAATCGACAATAATCACAGTTAAACAGCAAATTCTTTCATCTCCATTTAAAGGATTCTAATGTTTTGAGATCACGTGAACACGACATATTCTTATAATTTATACAGTAAATATCTCTGAGACCCATTTTCCTGAGAGAGCTGAGCCTGTGAGAGGAGTGCCTTTGGAGGTGAAAACAGTCTGTTATGAATATTCAGAGCACCATATGGTCCTGTGATTGTAAATGGGGTGGAAAGAGGGTTTTTATGTTCGTGTCACAAATGGGAGCAATGCTTTGAGCTGCCACCGGGAGCAGCAAACACCACCGGCTTTCACAGGAATGGAGAGAGACAAGGAGTGTAGGATACAATTCCACCATTATAACCCATAATAACATATAAACAACTTTAAAGGGGCACTGTGTAATCTTTCTGCTGAAGAGTTCACCACCTGTTTGTTGTCACAGAGGGCGGCAGTAGCTCAGCTGGCAGAGCTTTCCTCCAATGATTTAAAGGTTAGTGGTTCCTGCTCTCAACATAAACATCATGGGTTGAGTGGTCAGATCCACTGACCCACAGGTTGGCAGGTGTGATTCCAGCTCCCACAGATGAATACTGTCATTGTGTCCTTGGGCATGACACTTAACCCACCTCGCCCCCAGTGTCTGCGTACACTGGTGTGTGAGTGTGTGTGAGTGGGTGAGTGGTTCCTTGTTGTGAAGTGCTTTGAGTGCCTTGAAGGTAAAAAAGCGCTATGGAAAAATGTGACCATTTATCATTTAACATGGAGACAAGCAAGTGGAACTAACAAGATCAGTTACAGGTCAGACTGGTAGAGTCAAGAAAGCATGTTTTTTACAGTATCAATATAAAAAGGAAATAAATGTAAGGTTGGGCAATTAATCAAATTCATGTGATGAATTCATGTTTTTAATCATCAAGATTTTGGAAAATTGCACAACTTTCAAATTGATTTTCTTACTTGCAAAGCAGGATTATTGTGTAATTACAATTACATATTTCTACAAATGTAACTGAAGCCAGTTTACAGTTTCTTAAATAGCAGGATATGATAAGAATGAAAATGTAAAAGTAAAGAGCTTCCCTTGTTGGAAAGAAATGCAGTCCCTCACTTCTATTCAAATCTATTCAAATAAGATTTTTAGCCACATCGCCCAGCCCCAGGCCTATGCAGATACACTTAATGCCATAGTGGGGAACATTTCAAAGCAATAACATTTCCATGGAGACACATAGGGACAGACCCATCAGCAGAAAAATTATGCAATGCCTAAAAAAACTGATAATAGAAAAAAAAAAAAAAAATCATTACTAAGGTTCCCCGGTAAGTCTCATGAACTTCAAAGCAAATAACAAATGGATAAGTGAGAAAAATGAATCTGACATAATCATCCACAGAAGCCTCCTGCTTTTCAGATTATTGACATGTTCAAATAATACATTTACATGATGCACTTTGAAACAGTATTGTCCGTAGATCTAATAGTGAAATGTTTTGACTGGATGTAATGATGGTTTTAATTGTGTTATAAATGAATACTTGACTGGACATTTGAACTCATATGTGCTTTTAGTGCTTTTTGTTGATTACATGAAATAACCACCAGATGGCAGCATTTCACCTCCCAATTGTCCAGTCTGTGCTCCTGATATTAAAAACAACATAGGACAAGGAAATGAGGCCATGAAAATGCCACTTTTCTCCGTGGAAATGTTATTACTTTGTTTGGAATGTTCCACTGTATGGTATTAATCTTATCCACATCCATAGAGACCAGCAGGCAGCGCTACTGGGCAAAGATACAGGTCAGATCTGTGGAGAGGCCAGAGCTCTCACTGTAAGAAGACATGTCTTTCAATGTGTTTCAAAGCAATAAAACACATGTAACTGAAGAAATGCAAAATAGATAGAAGTATTTAATGCCATAAGTGTTTTGTTGAACATTTAACGGGCAAAGATAGTTTGACATATTCAGGTAGCAGACCCTCCACCAGAAAAGTTACATAGATGCACAACAATTTCAAAAAATAAAATGGTTAGACATTAAGTTAAAGTCAGCAGGAAATGGTGAAAGATTGGATTGGTGCAAAAGGAAAAAATGGGAGTTGGTTTTGAAAAATAAATATTTAAGTTTTGACACTTCATCATCAAAAACAGACCTGGAGTTGTGTTTTGGTTCGTTCACACGCGTTTAACACACAAACCCTGCGTATTTAGGCTTTTCTTATATTGAAAAAAAAGGCTGGTCCACGTTGTGATGTCACGCTGTGATGAGGAAACATAACATAAATCAGAAAACAGCGCAATGTGGAGCCTTTAACTGCCATAGGAGCGTGAATACTGAAAGCTCGAGACTACGCGTGTATTTCGTTTTGCGTTTCTTGTTTCCTCGGAGCAGCAGCTGACAGGGACACTGGCAGGGACGCTGACAGGGACACTGGCAGCTGGCGGCACGAGACGATGCTCTGCGCTGCTGTCGAAGGCGCGCGAACGGGGGGTCTGTGGACATGAGACGGTATTAATAGGACAGGCTTTGAGTGTCCCGTTCGCTTTGGTGGAGACGCGTCGGAGCAGGCAGCGAGGACCGGGCTGGCGTGTTGGTCTGGCGGGGCTCCCGATACACGGATTAAAGAAATAAAAACGAGACCATACGAGAAAAAAAAAAACAACAGCAACGCAGCGAGGATTGATCCGGAGGAGGCATCATGGAAGTACTGGCAGCGTTGAATTTGGGCGAGATCGCGCACACTTTCTCCAAAATGGGGATGTTTCCTGTCTTTGATCTCGCCTATTACATCGTGTCGATCCTGTATCTCAAATATGAGCCAGGTACGTGCAGTGTTTACGTCTGGGGTGCGGGTTATAACGCGGGAATTGACGTTAAAAATTACGGGAACACTTGTTTTACGCGTTCGTGACACTCGCAGTTTAACGCTTCACGCAGTTCAACACGGACGAAACGCAAATGAAAAAAGAAAAAGAAACATTAAAAAAAAAAAGGAGATGCAGTTTTGAGCAGGTGAGTTTTCAGGGCTTACGTTGGATCAGCAAAACAAAATTTCACATGTGCGCAAAGACGTAACGCGTTGGATGTTTGGAGCAGGTGCAAGTCGACTGTATTACGTAATAAGATCTATATTTATTGACTGAAATTCGGCTTCATATTATCTGTAAATCAAATTATCTTTATTAAAATGCCAAAATAAAAAATCAACATTTACGTGTAGCCTACGTCGTTGCAAATTTGGGTTGGATGTGCGCGTGTGGAAGCCCCTTACACGGAATGTTGTTATCTGTAGTGTCCTTATATAGCTTGTTACATAACATAAAACAGACCCATGACTTCAGCCGCTGTCAGGGAGCCTCTGGGCTGCTTTAGAGCTCGTATTTTCAGTTTAAAGACGCATTGTGTAACTTTTCTGGTGGGGGATCCGTCAAAACGTTTCTCCGTGGAGATGTTCTTGCTTCGTCTGGAATGTTTCACGACGCGTTGTGGTGTTAAACCTGGTATTCTATCCTCAGGGAGACCAAACTAGACCGAGAAGGAGTTACAGGTCAGATCTGTGGAGAGGCGACGCCGCTCACATTCAGAATGCCCGTTTTTGAGCTATAAAACCACCTGTAACTGAAGAAATGTAACGTCGAACTGTAATTCTGCAGAACATTCCAGAGTAGTAACGTCTCCACAGAAACAAGCAGGTGACGGACCCCTAACCGAAAAGTTACACCGTGCACCTTTAAGGCTGAGGAGTCCTGATCTGCTCACAGACAGAGCAGTGCAGAGGGATGAAATACAAGACATCGGAGGTACATTCCACAGAGAAGGGAATAAATAGTACGTCCTGAAATAGCCAGCGACCCTTGGACTGAATCATGTTTGAATGGAGAAGACAGAAAAGCTGGTTATAAAACAGTTCTATAATCACCAAATAAAGAACATGAATGTGCAATGTGTAACCAAATAGACACAAGTTGGACCTGTCAATTACACTTAGACTTAATTAGACTTTATTGATCCACAAGGGAAATTACAGAGGACACTGGGTTCTTTGGTATAATTTGGTGCAGTATTAGATTGTATAAGGCATAAATATTCTATAGGTTTATAATATTTAATACAGATGAGGGTAGCTAAATCAAATGTTGTTAAATTGCAGAATGTTTTGTAAAAATACAGTGAGTTCTTGTGTAATTAAAAGGAAAAACTGGCTCTTGGCCCCGTCTGACAGTATGACATCCTCACATTCTAAAATCTGAAATCCAGTAAGCAACGCACGTCATAATGACCATGTGCTGACTTAATGGTTATAAAGCGCCTCTGACAGTTTGGACTTCACATTTTTACTAAAACACAGCATAAACTGTCATTTTTCAGATTTTAACAAACATTTTAATGGTTATAAAGTGTCTATGACAGGTTGGACTAAACATTTAAACACAGCTAAAACTTGAATTTTTCAGATTTGACCAAACATTTTAATTGTTGAAGAGTGCCTATGACAGTTTGGACTACGCATTTAAACACAGCTAAAACTGTCATTTTTCAGATTTTACCAAAAAAAAAAAATGGTTATAAAGAGCCTATGACAGTTTGGACTATGCATTTTAACACAGCTAAAACTGTATTTTTTTTTTTTTACATTTTACCAAATATTTTAATGATTATAAAGTGACTATGACAGGTTGGACTACACATTTTTACTAAAACACAGCTAAAACCTTAATTATTCAGATTTTACCAAATATTTAAAATGAAGTGTGTCTATGACAGGTTTGGACTATGCATTTAAACACACCTAAAACCATAATTTTTCACATTTTACCAAATATTTTAATGATTATAAAGTGACTATGTCAGGTTGGACTTACACATTTTTACTCAAAACACAGCTAACATCATTATATTTAAGATTTTACCAAACATTTTAATAATTATAAAATGCCAATGACAGGTTGGACTACACATTTAAACACAGCTAAAACTGTAATTTTTCAGATTTTACCAAATATTTTAATGGTTATAAAGTGCCTAAGATGGGTTGGGCTACACATTTCCACTAAAACACAGCTAAAACTTGAATTTTTCAGATTTGACCAAACATTTTAATGGTTCTGAAGTGCCTATGACAGGTTGTACTACACATTTAAACACTGCTAAAACCGTAATTTTTCAGATTTCACCAAACATTTTAATGGTTATAAAAGTCATATGACAGGTTGGACTAAACATTTTTACTAAAACACAGCTAAAACTTAAATTTTTCAGATTTTACCAAACTTTTTAATGGATATAAAGTGGCTATGTAAAGTTGGACTACACATTTCTACTAAAACACAGGTTTCTAATTTATATCCTGGTTGGAAATCTTGACATCGAGCATGGAATTCCATAAACTATTACCTATCAACCATGATGTACAGAATGGGCCAAAGCTCCTCTAATTGTACACAGAGATTATTATTTGACAAATAAAAATAGTGAATAAAGAAAACACCTTTATTTTGTTGAAATCATATTTAAAGTATCAGAATGATGTGTTTTGTAACTGTAAATTGTGCCTAAAGTTTGGTCATTAATGCAAGACTCTAAAATAGAACTCTATACTTGGGTGAAATTTTCAACGTATTTTTCAACTTTTCTTCACAAACTGCTTCTCAGTTGGTGTAAAACTATCATTAGGTGTTATCGCACCACGTAAGTAGAAATTAAATAATCATCAAAAGCTGTCATATGCACTTTAAGGTGTGAGAATACAGGCCTAGTTATGAGCTCATATTCATTTGTTTAAAGCACTGAACGTTTATCTGAAATGCTACAAAATATAAACATGCAATAGTTAGTTAAGAGAGTAAACTCAGATCAGAACGAAACATGACAATAGTAACAATAATGACAATAGTGACAATAATGTACCTACAAAAGTCCACGGTCAATCAGCCTGTCTACTGTAGTATTCTCAGAGTCTGGTATATCAACACATTCAGGGAAGGAATATTAGAGATAAACATATTTTGTAATTTGAATAATAATGGTATAGTCATTTTAATAAATCATAAGGAACTGAAATATATTGAATCGATATGAGAATGTTTACAATATAAGACTTAAAACATACTGGAAGGACTGAGTGAGTGATTCTAAGCTGCTATTTTAAGAAATAAAGAGCCACACATTCCACCACATGTCACCCTCCACCTGAAAAAATAAAGGCTGTTGTGTCAGGAAGGGCATCTGATTTAAAGTCAGCAGCTGGTTGTATCTGGTGAAATGTCCTAAAGATATTTTAAGACAACCTCACGAGTGGAACATGTTTTATTTAGCAGGTCTTCCCCACAAAATGCAAAAGTGTCCAAAAGTGAAGTTGTTAAAAAAGTCTGAATCATGTAGAATGGCTTTAAAGCTGCACCAATATTTCTGTCTCCATGGAGATGTTATTGCCTGGAATGTCCCATAGTATGATATTTAACATCCATCTTGCATTTTAGGTAAAGGTGCATTGTGTAACTTTTCTCCGTGGTGATGTTATTGCATTGTCTGGAATGTTCCGCAGTATGGCATTAAACCTTTCTATCTTCATGGAGACCAAACCTGACCAAGCTACAGGTCAGATCTGTGGAGAGGCGACCCTGCCCACAGTCAGAATGTCTGTTGTTTTTAATATATGTATGTTTAAGATATAAAATCATCTGTAATTTAACAAATGTAAAGTAGAGCTGTTTAATGTCATACTGTGGAACATTCCAGGCAGCCGTAGCAACAAGCAGGTGACAGACCCCCAACCAAAAAGTTACATAGTCCAGCTTTAAATACAGTTTTTTTTTATTGGTCTAGAGTCATCACCTTCTAGTCTCCATGGAGATACAGAGCAAAAAATAAATAAATCTAGTCAAGTTAAGATGACTTGAATTAAGAAAGTTTGATCAAGATTTCAATATATTTCTAACTAATTCTAATTATTTAAAACTATCTGTCAATAGAATAAGATTTTTTTGTACTTAAAATATGAAAATACATTTTGCTACACTTAAAAAAAAGAAAGAAAAACAACAACTTTTTGCACTTAAAACAAGAAACAAAATCGAATGTTGCTTGAATTAAGAAAAACATACTTATTCTATTGGTCGATTATTTTACTTGGCAAGTGGAATCGACTCAAATCAAGTAAAATGTTCTTAATTTAAGTCATTTTAACTTACCTAGATATTGTTTTTCTCCAGATAATTTAAATAATGGGGTGTAACGATATCCAAGTCTCACGATACGACATTGTCACAGTGCGATATTTATTGCGATAATGTGGAAAAGCTCACGATATGTTGGGGAGGCTCACGATATTACGATTTTATACATAATAACAAGACTGACACTATAAAATGCTTTGACCTTTCAGTTAGTACAACATTTATTGTCATATTGTAGGATGTAACAATATCCAAATCTCACAGTACGATATTATCACGATATGCATCCTACGGCACGATATTTATTGCGATATTTTGAAGAAGTTAATAATTAAAGATGGGACACTTTTTTGCTTTTAAAATACCTTGACAAGATTTTGGTGTGAATTATTTCCATCATAATCCCAAGAATTCAAGTAAAAAACATATTTCTTCGTGTCGTCTGTGCTGAAATGAATTATGGGAAATGTAGTTCTCTGTGTTTATAAGCTTTTGCTACTGTAAAATCATGTATTTAAGCAAAGAAACTTGTGATTCGATATATTGTCACAGGCCACGATATTATTGTGAGACTTTTGACGATACGATATCACGATATTTTAGTTATTGTTTCATCCCGATTAAAGGCAAACCCACAAAAAGTTCAT